AATAATAAAATGGAAAGAAATAGAAATCGGGGACCCTGGTTTCTGATTCTGGAATTATTTCATTCTAGCTGTGTGACCCTGGACAGCTTAATAAACCTCTCTGAGAAGGTGCATAGAGATTCTTCCCCGTGGTTAGACTGGAGGCTCCGGAAGGCCTGAGTCCTCATAATACCATGACTCTCTTCCCATAGGGGCTTTCTGTCTTCCAGAAAATACCTTAATCACCAAATATGGGACACCCCCCCCCCCCTTCCCAAAATGCAGTCTTGAGACTAGGGTTGAGGTAAGGATGGAATGGAGTACCCTGATTTTTTGTTGCCAACTCCAACTTTGTTGCCATGGCAGCAGGATGTGGAGCATCACTCCTGCATGGGGAGGCTCCATCTACCTAGCTACAAAGCCTAGCTTCTAGCCTAGTAAGGAGCCCAGCCCATGAGGCTCCCCAATCTCTCCTCCCCCAGTAGTGCAGGGACACTACTACTGCTTCTTGGCATTTGGAAGAATAAAGGGAGATAAACTGACAGTTTGGTATGCCCTGGGCCCGGAGAGCTTCTGGCTGAGAAAGAGAGAGACAAGTGGAGATATTCCTTGTATGAAGTCATCCTACCCTAAAAGTTGGAAAACTTGCTCTGCAGAGGGTCAGTCTGTAAATATATTAGGTTTTTCAAGCATCTCTGTTGTGACTGCTCAACTCTGCCATTGTAGGGTGAAAACAGCCATAGACAATACATAAACAAATAGATGCGGTTGTGTGTCAATAAAACTTTATTTACAAAAACACTCAGTGGGCCAGATTTGGGATGCTGGCCAGAGTTTGCAGACCCCTGCTGTACCCCATAGTGCAAGAGAAAGAGCCTGGGCTGGGGGCAGGGAACTAGGCTTAAGACCCAGAACCACCAATGACTTGCTGTGTGAATTTGGGTAAGTCAGCATCTATCTCTGATCCTCAGTTTCACCATCTATCAAATTGCTATAACAGTATCAGCCAGATTTGCCATGAGAATAGGTCTAACAGGTCAGAGCAAATCTCAAGTCTTTCCATCACTTCAAGTAGAGCTAACTCCCCTCCCAAGGCCATACCCTTGCCTGCTAAGGGTGGCAGCAGCCTGCTGGAAGGAAGAGGGGTTTCTCTCTAGAGTCAGATCCTTAGTCTGGCTTTCCAACCTCCATCCTCAAGTGACCCCATTTCTGTAGCAAGCCAAGCACAGGAGGAAATGAGGAATCCCTTCTTTTCCACCATCCAGTCATTTGGCAGGAGGCTACAGTTCACTTGAGAAAGTGATGTGGCTGCAGTGGCTGGTGGCCAGGCTTTAGAGGAGGCTTTTGAGAATCAAGAGTTAGGAAAGGTGAGATTCAGTGCTCCCCAGATCATTTATCTATGTATCAGGGAAGCTGGGGTGCATGGCAAGAAGACACAGTCGCGATCTGGTGGTGACTCACAGCACCATCAATTGCATTAATGGATGTTTCTTGAGCCATCTTGTCTGCCTGTCTGGTCTGACCACCACTGAGATCTCGTGTCCTTTGGCATCTTGTCATATGCTCTGAAGACCCATAAAGTGATTCTCTACCCACCCCCCACACTCACTCTCTCTCCTTCTCTCTCTCCCTCCCCTCCTCCCTTTCCTCTCTCTTTCTCCTTCTTGTATCATAAACACATTTATCCAGGGCAGGACAGAATACACTGCAACAGTCCTCTGTCAAGAAAGATCCTTGCCCCAAATATCCAGAAAAGCAGCCCTAACCAGGAGTCTCCATACTGTTCTAGAGAAGCAGACACCCCCCCCCCTTCCCATCGCTTTCCATCTCCCTCTCAGGAGGCCATCCTCCCCAAAATCTCTGGAAAAGATACACCTTCTCTTTGAGAGTGGGTAAGGGGTGATGTCTCTCCAGGTCCCCAATAAAGCTATGCAAGACAGGAGCAAGGGATCTCACGGCCTGTTTTTGCTATAAAAAGACCTTTTTCAGAAAAAAATAATAAAGAAAGAAATCAGCCAATCCGTCCTCAATGCCATCACCTCTTCTTGGTGATTTTTCGGGGAAGGAGTGGGCGGGTTGCCATGGCAACAGATGCAAAGAGCTTGTCTCAGTAAAGAAGGGACCTTGATATTTTTTTCTCTTCTCATTCTCTCTCTCAGTTGTGTGTGTATGTGTGTGTGTGTGCGCGCTGCGCATGCCTGTGCCCACACCAGGAATTTTTTTTTAGAACTAAAGAAAGCCCTTCTCTTCCCTCAGCGCCCCAAATATGGAGCGATGGAAAACCACTTACTCCTGCAGGCCAGGGAGGATTCAAGATAATTCAAGAGAAAAGGGAGAGGTCATATGGGGCTCACTTCCTCCATCTTTTTACTAGAGATTGCATGCAACACACACTTTCACAAATGGTTGGGGGCCAAGTGTCGGGAAGAAAGGAAGATGCTGGGTGGAGAGAGGTGAGTAAGGGGTAGGTGGTGTAAGAGCCCAACAAGTGATATCAGAGAGGGCAACAGAAGATGCATTGAGGCTGGGGATGCATGCAAATTCACATTCTCCATTGGATGCTGAGAATAAAAGGCACAGAGCAGACTCACATATGGACACGAACACACACACAGACAAGGAGGCACAGAAAGCTGCAAACACATGAACACATACAGACACAAACATGGAACTACCCATAACGCAGGAAGCGGTAGACATTTTTTTTTTTTTTTTTACAAAGGCAGACATAGATGCAGGCAAATGCATAAATACACAGGGACACAAACACAAAGTTACATGCAGACAGACACACACATACAAATACAGTCACAGTCAAATGGACAGACAGACACATGCACACCCTCAGTCTGGCTCCCTCCCATCAATTGCCCATGCATCCTTAAACAGCACTGCATAGCTGGGAATACTGCAGGCTCACCCAGTGGGTGTAGCTGCACCCCCCTTCCTTCTACACATTCACCCCAAAGCCCCTCTTGAATCAAATCGCTTCTTGCCCACTTTCCCATAGATGATGGGCTCTGATACCTCCCCCATTTCAAGCTTCCAATTCTTAGCCTGTTCTGTTCTGCTGCTGCTGCCTGCCGATTCGGGGGGGAGAATGGGGTGACTCAGCCAGGCCCGGATGACTCACACTGCCAGTATTTTTAGCAGCGGCCAGGAGCTCTCTAGCGTGCCAGCCGCCCCCCTCCTCCTGCTTGCTATTTTGGAACCGTCACTGGTGATATAAATAGCTCCTCTCCCACGGCCTGAAGCTGCTGCCAAGCTATTTTTGGTTCTGCACAGTTAAAAATAGCTTCACGGAGGTGGGAGGCAAGGGGAGTGGGAGCTGGCCTAGGGAGAGGAGACATTGGGGCATATAGAGCTTCTCAACTTGAATTAGAGTGGGTGAACTAAGATAAGCCCTTATCTTCCCCCTCCCTTGTCCCTTTCTAGACCCTTCTTTCTTTCCAGAAGGCCTTCCCCCCCAGCCCATTCTGGAAAAATGCAAGGATTCTTCCCTTGGCTAGTTCTCCTCGCATGCTTATTTTACTCCTCGAGCTCAGATCCCTTGGGCCCCTAAAGCCCCCTCCCACATTCATCCTCACAGGAGAAGGGGACAGCTAACGGGGGCCTCACTCTGAAGCCTGTGTGGACTCACACTCTCTTTTGATGTCCAGGTAGACTATGGCCAAATGACTTCAGGGATTGCCCCCCCCCCCAGAACCATGGACAGTGGTCAATGCCCCATTCTTTCATGCAGTTCTGTTCACCTTACTGGAGACTGGCTGCATCCAACCAACAAATAGTTCTTATCATAGAGAGGGGCACTAAGTCTGTCTCCCAGTCAAGGCTAAAGCATCAGTGGGTGAAGAAAATAGGAATACTTCCCTGGATTTTCATACAAGGATGGGGTCCAAAGATCAAGCGCCTGAGGTCAAGGGGTCCAAAGGTCAGAAGCTAGAGGGATGAGTACATCAGGGGTCAGATGGAGATGAAAGAGGAACAGAGATATGCTTCCTGAAGGAACCATTTCTCTAAAATCCAGATAAATAGGGTTAGAGAGAGTGGCAGACAGACAGCCCCCCCCCCCCCCCTTCCCTTCATCTCAGTTGTACCACCGACCACAGGATAGTTGATGGAGATGGCCCAACCTTTGCCAAAATGGCACAAGAGGTCAGGATCAGATGCCCAGACACCCTTCTCCTCGGCTGTCTCCTGCTCCCACTCTGCCACTCTTGCCACCACCCTTTCCCATGGGAATGAGGGGTTCTTTGACCCCAAGTTTTGCTTCTTGGTGTCAAAGTTTATCCCCACCCTTCCTATGTGACTTCCTACAATCAATCCAGTCCCTCTCCCACAATTTTTAAGTGGTCTCATTTCCAGCCTCTCAAGTGATTTCACACAGATCCCTACTCCACCAAATAAGATTTCACATAAAATGTCCCCTAGCCCAGATGTGATGCTGGGGGAAAGAAAGGCACCCCTCATCCCCTGTAGAGAGCAATCATCTGTGCTGAAAAGAGAAAAAAGAAAGAAGGAGAGAGGGCAAAGGTGACATGATATGGACACAAAACTGATGGAGATTGGAAGAGTCTCCGGAGAGCAGAAGGGGAACATTTTTCTGCGGTGGGGGGAGGGGGGAGAGGGCGCACAAAGGTAAGACAGACCACCAAGCAGGCAATGAGATCTGAAACTAGTCGGGGCTGTGGAAGGAGGATGTGGAGAGTTGAAGGTTAGGAGACAGAACGAGGAGTCTTAGCGCCGAGGATGGGGAGGGGGTTGCAGGGGGGGTACGGAGGACAGCCTGACGGAGTCAAGGGGTCCTTGACAGATGCGGGATCTCGGCGGGTCCAGCACGGCCCCCTCTTTTCTATGCTGCTTCCTCATCTTCCCCGCCGGAGACGGGGGGAGCCCTCCGGAGCGGTGCGGAGGCAGGCAGGCCCCGCCCGCCGCCGCCGCGGCAGCCGCCGGAGGATTCCTGTCCTAATATGGAGCTGGGATTCCCCCGGCCCCGCCCCCGCCCCCGGCCCGCCGGGAGACCGAGGCTTGCAGTCGGGCGGGGGGAACCGCTCGCTTTGGGGCTGGCAACGGGGTGGGGGAAGGGATATCTAGATGCAGACCCAGATCCTCACCGTGCCCTGGGACCCTGCCTCAGTTTCCCCCGTTAGTGGCTGCAGTTAATCAGTTGACAGGGGAACACAGAATCACTGCAGACTCCAGCGTTGGTGTTGGTGTTCCTATTCTTGGCTGTGGGAAAATGGAACCAAGGCCAAATTCAGCTGGTCCTTCTCTCTCAGGAACCCCTTTCCACCCCACCCTGGAGACTTAGACTTCCATATAATGCCCCTTGCTAAATGCCAAGCCCGTGTTTGGAAAGCTGGGAGGGGGGGGGACGGGGGAGGGGGAGGAGATTTGTTCTTTGAAAGTGACTAAGGGAATCCCAGATTGAGTGATCCCTAGAGAGAAACCCCAGCTGCGACCTCTCCCTCAGAGGCCAAGGAGGGTCCTTCTTTTCCTCCCCATGTGAACATGACCTTTGCCTGGCAAATAGCAAGGAAGAATTTGTAGACTACCCTCCCCCTCCCCCATTTCCTTATCTCCTTAGAAAAATCCCTGTTGGAACCAACCCCTCCCTCCTCTCTACAGACTCTCCTGCCAGGGGCTTCAGACCGCCTTAACCCTTGCCCTGTCCCTTCCCTCAGCTGAACACATTCGGACCCCTGGGTCCCTGCACCCTCTTTCAGGCCTTCCCAATGCAGCGCCCGTTTCTCGGTTCAGCTGCCGCCAGCCGCGGCCCCCTCCGCAGCCTCAGTTCTCCCCCTCCCCCCGTCCCCCCTCCCGCTCTCATTCTACGTCATGGGATGACGTCGGGAGCCCGGGAGGGAGGAGGAGCGCTCCCCCCTCCCCAGCCAGTGGCTCCCGCTGCAGCTTGCTTAGCCCAGCCTCCTGCTTTCCCGCCCCCCCTTTCTGTAAAGCGAGCCCCCCACGCCTAGCAGGAGCTATATAAGGCGGAACGAGGCAGTCGAGGGGGGCAGCGCAGCCGAGCGGAGCCCAGGAGAGGAGAGACAGAGAGAGAGAGCCTGAGCGAGAAACGGGGAAGCAAGGAGGAAGAAGCCACCGGTGCGTCGGGACGGGAACGCAGGTGTTCGGAGCACCCGAGCTGGAGCCCTGCAGCCGCTAGTCATGTACCGCTCCACCAAGGGCGCCTCCAAGGCGCGCCGCGACCAGATCAACGCTGAGATCCGGAACCTCAAGGAGCTCCTGCCTCTAGCTGAAGCGGACAAGGTCCGGCTCTCCTACCTGCACATTATGAGTCTTGCTTGCATCTACACTCGCAAGGGCGTCTTCTTCGCTGGAGGTGAGCAAACTGGGGCTACCAGAGACCAGAGCTGGCGGGCACCGGGGACAGTGGAGCTGAGGGAACCAGCAGGGACTGATGCATGTCTAGGGCAGCGTGGCGGCGAGCTGGGGAGAGACGGGACTTGGGGAACTCAGGTCTTCCTACTTTTCCTCCTGAGCTCTGTTCAGACCTCACCTTAGTTCTGGTAAGAGCCTGGATAGTGTCCCTGCTGCCAGATTTATGGGAATAAGAAAGCCAGGACAGAATGGCCCCAGTTCCCACAGCGTAGAGGCACTCCAGGAACCCGAGGAGGGAAGCCCGGGAAGTTGCAGGGATGGAGTCACCCAAACCGGGGCAAGCGTGGCCACTGTTCTCTACGTTGAAAAGGCTCTTCAGCAGCCTTCGAGGCGCTGTCCGCGGTGCTGACCGCATCACCGTGTTGAGAGGCGCTGCCCGCGGTGCTGAACTCCCGGTTGTCTTTTGAGCGCTGTCCGAGGGTCTGAAATTCAGAGCCAGCAAAGACCCAGCTCCGACTTAGAAGTCAAAGGGCTGGCTGGCTAGGGAAATCCAGCAACAGGTTCCTTGGGCAAGAGCTGTGGGTAGCGGGTCAACAGGTGTGTGCAGAGGCAGGTTCATGAGAAATTCCTCTGGATTTTCTGAAACTCAGTGCATGCCTTCCTTACTTATGATTTGCTTCCCAGTTTTATTCCTGACCCACCATATCTTCTTACCCTGCAGGCACTCCTCTGGCGGGCCCCACAGGGCTTCTCTCATCTCAAGAGCTTGAAGACATAGTGGCGGCACTACCTGGATTTCTACTTGTGTTCACAGCTGAGGGGAAGCTGCTATATCTGTCTGAGAGTGTGAGCGAACATCTGGGCCACTCCATGGTGAGTGCTGAGGGTCCTCTTAGCTTGGGCTAGAGTACGTATGGGATACAATGAGCTTTCCACTTTTGAGAATCTGAGAATTACTGAGGCAGGAGAGGTTATACACTGCCAGATGCTATGTGCTAAGGATTCACTCTTGCTGCCATCACTAAATGTCATTTCATCTCTTCTTCACCTTTTTCCAGGTGGACCTCGTTGCCCAGGGTGACAGTATCTACGACATCATTGACCCAGCTGACCACCTAACTGTGCGCCAGCAACTCACCCTGCCCTCTGCCCTGGACACCGGTAAGAACTCCCTTTCTCCCTCTCTCAATCAAACCTCCTTCCTGCTTCCCTGCTCCTTTCCACCTGCTATCTCTCTCAACAATCCACCCTCTTATCAGCTTTTCTCTTCATTTACCTAGATCGCCTCTTCCGCTGCCGCTTCAACACTTCCAAGTCCCTCAGGCGCCAGAGTGCAGGCAACAAACTGGTGCTTATTCGAGGCCGATTCCATGCTCATCCACCTGGAGCCTACTGGGCAGGAAACCCTGTTTTCACGGCTTTCTGTGCTCCACTGGAGCCAAGACCTCGCCCTGGCCCTGGCCCTGGCCCTGCCTCACTCTTCCTGGCCATGTTCCAGAGCCGTCATGCTAAGGACCTGGCCCTACTGGACATCTCTGAGAGGTAAGTCCAGAGCATTCAGACTCCAGGAAGAAAGCAAGCCAGAGATGAGGGGACCCTAGATTCTGGAGTCAGGAGCAGGGAGGATGGGGTGTAAGGGGGCAGAGAACCTGGGAGGGAGTGAGATGCCTGGGTATAAAGCAGAGAAAACAGAAAGCTGACCACACCCTTTCCACCTTCCCAGTGTCCTAATCTACCTGGGCTTTGAGCGCAGTGAACTGCTCTGTAAATCATGGTATGGACTGCTGCACCCCGAGGACCTGGCCCACGCTTCTGCTCAACACTACCGCCTGTGTGAGTGTCCAGAGAGGCTGGGGACAAGACAGGGTGCTGGGAAAGGTCATGGGAGACCCAACCAAGAAGGGCTGTGGTCAAGAATGATGCTGGGGAGATAACAGAGGCCAACAATTTTTGGATATTATAGAATGAACATTAGGGTGAGGAGTTGAAGTGAGAATAGAGTCAGAACTGGGGGACTCCAAGTGGTGAGGTCAATGTGGGGAGCTGAGTGGTGCAGGTGAGGGTAGTCAGAAATGGAGATGTCATGGATACCCCAATTCAGTGGAAAGGTCAATAAGAGGGAAGTTTAGGTGGTGTCGCCTGATGGACATCCTAACTCTGTATCTCTTCTTTTCCTTCAGTGGCTGAGAGTGGAGATATTCAGGCAGAGATGGTGGTGAGACTGCAGGCCAAGCCTGGAGGCTGGGCATGGATTTATTGCCTGTTATACTCAGAAGGTCCAGAGGGCCCCATTACTGCTAATAACTACCCAATCAGGTGAGCTGCAAGGCAGGGGCTTGGAGGGCAACTGAGGTGGGCATGGAGGAGGTAAAAATCAGGAACTGCTCTGGGAAAGACCACCAGACCCTCACCGTCTGCCTCTTCTCTCCTCTCCAGTGACACAGAAGCCTGGAGCCTCCGCCAGCAGCTGAACTCTGAAAACACCCAGGCAGCCTATGTTCTGGGCACCCCAGCCATGCTGCCCTCATTCCCAGAGAACATCCTCTCTCAAGAGCAGTGTTCCAGCCCCAACCCACTCTTCCCCCCAGCCTTGGGAGCTCCCAGAAGCACCAATTTCCCTAGTGCTCCAGACCTGGGTGCTGCCTCAACATCAGAAGAGCTTCCTCAATCCCAAAAAGAGTTGGGCTTTAGTTACCTGGCATTCCCGTCTGGCTCTGAGCCTTCTCTTCAAGCAGACCTGAGCAAGGATCTTGTGTGCACTCCACCCTACACACCCCACCAGCCAGGAGGCTGTGCCTTCCTCTTCAGCCTCCACGAGCCCTTCCAGACCCACTTGTCCACTCCATCCAGCTCTCTCCAAGAACAGCTGACTCCAAGCACTGCCACCTTTTCTGATCAACTGACTCCAAGCAGTGCAACCTTCCCAGATCCACTGATGAGCCCACTTCAAGGCCAGATGACCGAAAGCTCAGCCAGAAGCTATGAAGATCAATTGACTCCCTGCACCTCTGCCTTCCCAGACCAGCTGCTTCCCAGCACTGCCACCTTCCCAGAGCCTCTGGGCAGTCCTGCCCATGAACAACTGACTCCTCCCAGCACAGCATTCCAAGCACACCTCAACAGCCCCAGCCAAACCTTCCCAGAACAACTGAGCCCCAATCCCACCAAGACTTACTTCACCCAGGAGGGATGCAGTTTTCTCTATGAGAAGTTGCCCCCAAGTCCTAGCAGCCCTGGTAATGGGGACTGCACGCTCCTGGCCCTAGCCCAGCTGCGGGGCCCCCTCTCTGTGGATGTCCCTCTGGTACCCGAAGGCCTGCTTACACCTGAGGCCTCTCCAGTCAAGCAGAGTTTCTTCCACTACTCTGAGAAGGAGCAGAATGAGATAGACCGCCTCATCCAGCAGATCAGCCAGTTGGCTCAGGGCATGGACAGGCCCTTCTCAGCTGAGGCTGGCACGGGCGGGCTAGAGCCACTTGGAGGTCTGGAGCCCCTAGACTCCAACCTGTCCCTGCCGGGGGCTGGTCCCCCTGTGCTCAGCCTGGACCTGAAACCCTGGAAATGCCAGGAGCTGGATTTCCTGGCTGACCCTGATAACATATTCCTGGAAGAGACGCCCGTGGAAGACATATTCATGGATCTCTCTACCCCAGACCCCAATGGGGAATGGAGTTCAGGGGATCCTGAGGCAGCGGTCCCAGGAGGGGCCTCATCGCCTTGCAACAACCTGTCCCCAGAAGACCACAGCTTCCTGGAGGACCTGGCCACATATGAAACCGCCTTTGAGACAGGTGTCTCAGCATTCCCCTACGATGGGTTTACTGATGAGTTGCATCAACTCCAGAGCCAAGTTCAAGACAGCTTCCATGAAGGTAAGTCCAACCAAAATGTTGAGAAACTCAAGTCCCTGTTCTGCCAATGAGATGCTGGTGGAATTAGATGAGTAAACTCCCCTTTCTGTGCCTGAATTTTATTAATAGGATAACAACACCTGCTGCCCAGGGTAGCAGTGAGGATACGAACTAGTGAAAAACTTAGCATAGTTATTCTGGGCAAGTGGGCCTAGAGGGCAGGGGTCAGGGGTGCAGTATAAAACGCAAGAGAATCCTTGGTAATGGCTTGTGCTTCTTAATTCTGTGAGGGACCTAGATCAGCTATCACCACCCATATTACAGATGAAGAAAACCAAGGTCCCAGAGTTAAAGAAACTTGCCTAAGGTCACATGACAAATTGATGGATGAGGGATTAGAGTTCTATCTCAGTATTCTTACTCCTTAAAGAGAATACAGAGCAAGAGTTTGTAGAAGTTTGGGAAAGGCAGAAAGTGAAAATTAGCCCCTGGCCCATTGGGGGCTCCTTGCTCATGGCTCCATCCTTTCCAAAACTACAGTTGTAGTTTCATTCCATCCACCCAAATTGCTCCCTTATCTTGCCGAGCCTCTGGTGATCACTCAGTCATTGGACCAACATATTTGAAGCCCATACTATGTGTCAACAGTACACCACATCTTCAATCTATCTTTCCTAATGGACTTACTGAATGTCATCTCTCTCTCTCTCTCTCTCTCTCTCTCTCTCTCTCTCTCTGCAGATGGAAGTGGAGGGGAACCAACGTTTTGAATAAGTCTGTGACTTAACGTCGTCAAGTATGGCATATTGTCATCAAGACGTGGAGCCGCTCTCCACCCCCCCCCGGGACAGTTGGGGGGATTCTGGGGGCCAGAGGGGGATATATCTGATTCCCTAGGCCCTGCAGGATTTTGGGGGGGGGGGAGGTGGGAGGGCAGGGGAGGGGAGCTTCTTTTTAAAATTTAGAGACTTCAAGCAATCTCAGTTTCCATTTCAATCTGTATTCACTCGTAGTGAGTTTCCTTGAATGGGATTTTCAAGCGGAGAATGGGGGAGTCTCACTTCCCCACTCCCCGCACTACCCCATGGGCCTGGGCCAGTTCTCCACTCCTGGGGGCCAAGCCACCCCTGGGCCTTGGTGGGGGAAAGGCAGCGCCCACCTGGGCCAGCCTGTGCCCCGAGGGGCTCTTGACACCCACGTAGAATTCTCTACACACCAGTAACGGGATTTCAATTCCGATGGACTCTGCCGCCCTGGCGGCCCTTCTTGTGACTTTTGCGCCCCGCGCCTGGGGTGGGGGGCGCGAAGAGACGCTACGTTCCTTTCCGATGGAGGAAGGCAGACCTGCCGCTGTCACACGTGTGCTTGCACGAGTGCGTGTACCTGGTGCGGGACTCACCCGGCTGCCAGACTGCCTGGGCCTGCCCAGGTGGCCACTTCGTGGTGCTGCGGTGACTTTGTAGCCAACTTTATAATAAAGTCCAGTTTGCCTTTTTGGTACTGCTGGTGTCATGTACTGTTGTGGAAAGGGAAGGGTGGGGATCTGAGAAGGTTGGGAGCCCGGGGGTCAGGAGATAAAGTCTGGATCTGCTGACAGCCCTGGTGTTTCTTCATTCACTTATGCACTCATTCATTCCTTCACTTGACATGGGCATACAGTGTGTGGCCCACTCCATGCTAGAAGCTGGAGAGTTTGGAGCTGAAACACTTGCCTTCAAGATGCTTTGGTGTAAAATATTAGAAGGTATTGGAGTCTCCTCCCTGCTCTAGGCTTGCAGCGCTCACAATGTGGGAGGGAGGAGAACGGCCGGGGATGGGTAGGGGATTCAGCTTGGCATTTTCCTGCACATTGATTTGAAATTTCAGGCATGAGTCTCTTCCTTCAGTCTTGTCCTGCAGGGAAGCGACTTCCCTTTGGGGCCCTGGATCTTCTCATTGGAGATGATGCCCATCTGGGTAATCTCTGCGTGGGGCTTTCAGTGGACACTTTTACATCCTCTATTCATTGCAATAAAGCCTCTAGGCAGGCATATTAGCACCATTTCACAGATGAAGAAACTGATGATCTCAGGTAAAAAATGATTTGCCCCTACCATTGGTGGGAGGCGTGGGTAGGCAACATACTCGCATCATCTACATCTGAGTTCTGGGTTGTTCCCTCTGTTCCCAAAGCCAGTGAATCACCATCTCAAATCGTCCCATCCCAGATGACCTGAGAAAGTCAGGTTTGGGCTGGACCAGGTGCCTCTTCTCCTCCTCCAGGTCTACAAGCTAGAGAAGACCCCCAAATTTTGAGCAGAATAAAACTGACTGGGTCAAGAGAAGAACTTGGTGGGGGGTAGGAGAATGAAAATTAGGGGACAGAAAGAGGTGGATTCAAATCCCATGTCCAACCACGATTTGCTGTGTCAGACCTGAGCCTCAGTTTCTTCACAGGTAAAATAGGACTGAAAGCAAAAAAAAAAAAAAAAAAAAAAAGGTACTTACCCCTCAAAGATGCTACTAGAATTTGATTGGGTCTTTCTAAGCTGAGGAGCACAGAACAGACATAAGTTATTTTTTTTTAAATTTTTTTTTCAACGTTTTTATTTACTTTTGGGACAGAGAGAGACAGAGCATGAACGGGGGAGGGGCAGAGAGAGAGGGAGACACAGAATCGGAAACAGGCTCCAGGCTCCGAGCCATCAGCCCAGAGCCTGACACGGGGCTCGAACTCACGGACCGCGAGATCGTGACCTGGCTGAAGTCGGACGCTTAACCGACTGCGCCACCCAGGCGCCCCAGACATAAGTTATTAAAGTGAATTAGAAGGCACTGTTAACCACCAAGTCTCAGAGAAGTTTCTTTCTCAAGGAGAGGAAGGAAACTCCAATCTTCCCCCAGTGAAATATGGGACTGGACTCCCGTAGCTGAGATCATGACACTGAGAGTCACCTAAATTCTGTCTCATTCCAAATCCTCCAGCTCCAGGGCCATGCCCTTGAGAGGGTCCCACAAGAAGGAAGACATTCTAGGAACCTGTCGCCCCTTTTCCACCTTGGATGGATCCTTGGGTGAAACACGGATAAAGCATTGCCTTCTTCTTTTCTGTGCCTCTGTTCTCCAACTTGGACAGAAGAAGTGAACCATAAGCCCTGGGAGGACCCAGTCTTAGCTCCACTCCTCTGCTGGCACGGTACACGGGGATGAACACACGACAGACACACCAGAAATATTAGATTGGGAGGGACCATTTCTGAAGATCAGCCCAAGGATTTGAGTCGAAAGTCACCGGTTTCTACCACAAAAACTTGTTCCTGAGTTCCCCAGAAGGCAAAAGGTTCTAGCTCTCAGCTTCGAATCTTAAGGGAATATGTAACCTCAAGACACGCTTGAGCCCCATCTAAAAACCTCCCTGGTGGGCATCAAAAAGGAAAGAGAAGTCTGAGAAGCTGTGAACAGCTGAAAGGAGCCTAAGAAAAATGACAACGAAATACACAGTGATATTCTGGATGGGATCTTGGAACAGAAAAAGGAGAGGTTTAAAAAAAAAGAGAGAAATCTGAATAAATTATGGACTTTAGTTAATAATAATGTATCCATATAGCCTCATTAATTGTGACAAGTGTACCAGTAAGTGTAAGACGTTAATAACAGGGGAAATGATAGGCATGGAGTATATTTAACATTTCCATAAATCTAAATCTATTCTGAAACTAAACGTTTCTTTAAAAGTTCAACCAAATAAAGGAGAATCTAAAAAATTAAAATATGTGACAAAAAAGAAGCACTTCACGGGAGGTTTCTGGTGGTGGCGGGTGACAGTGGACTGTGCATTTTGACGAGGAGGCACCAGAGATCACTCAGAACCAGAGAGAGAGGCAGGCACGTCCAGCGCAGAGAAAAGAAAAATTAGAAAGCGAGTTGCTCCACCTGCTGGACAGAGAAGGATCTGCTTCTGTTCCTCTCTCTGCCAAGGTCCCTGTGGCTCAGAGCGCCACAGCTGAGAACAAATGGATAAACTGAGGCTGGGAGAGAGGAAAGAGGTCGCCCAATGGCACTCCCAGAGTCACTGCGGAAGCCAGCTCTACTCTCAGTCAGTTCCCTCCCCCCACCAATACTAACTCTTCCCTGAGAGCAGAATGTAGGAGAAGGGGCTCAAGTTTGGGGATCATAAGGACTGTGTTCAAGGGCTTCATTTTTCCATGTGATAAATATTTACAATACCTGCATGTGCCAGAAGCTGTTCTGTGTGCTGGGGATGGCAGCAGCACACAAGAAAGACAAGGTCCCTGGGCCCACAGAGCTCACATTCTAGTTGCGAGGAGACAACAGAAAAAGTAAACAAGCAGCCTAAAAAGAGTATACAATATGTACAGTAAGAGAAAGAACCAGAGTGCTGTGACGAAGAGCCATAGCTCTAGTTTAGAGTCTTCTAACTTGAGTGGGGTGTCAGAAAAAACTTTACGCGGAGAAAATATTGGAGCGCCTGGCTGGCTCGGTCCACAGAGCATCCAATTCTTGATCTCGGGGTTGTGAGTTCAAGCCCCACATTGACTGTAGAGATTGCTTGAAAATAAAATCTTTTTTTAAAAAAAAGGAATAACAAGGAAATCAGCGTGGCTGGATCAAGGTCAATGAGGGAAAAAGATTACTTCAAACATTTTAAGAAACTCAGACTTGATTTCATGTGCATTAGGAATCCATTGAGTAGACTTGAGCAGGGGAAGGATATGGTATGATTACATGGTTAAGCCATCCTTCTGGAAGTTGTGTGGAGAACATAGAAACAACAAGAAGTAGATGAACTAAATTTTCAGAGAGAAAAGAGCCCTTCGTGTATGAGTTGATGAGCACATCATCTTCTTCCCTGGAAAAAATTTCCTGTTCTGAGTGCAGGCTGATTTGTTTAGTGGGAAGAGGGAATCCTTGGGCAGTGCATTTTTGGGGTGGCCATGAGGGGCTGGTGTAATGGATTGGAAATTGGATGTGCCCCCAAATGCATGGCCTTTCTCCCCGTGGAGTAGTTGCTAAATTCCAGACTGAGATGAAAGCTAAAAGGCAAAGATAATCCCCCATAGTCTCATGGTGCTAAAGGGGAAAGACCCCCATGATGTCAACCCATCAAGACATATACCTGATTTCCCATGCAAGTGCTAACCAGGCCCGACCCTGCTTAGCTTCTGAGATCAGATGATAGTGGGCACGTTCAGGGTGGTATGGCCATAGACTAGACATATACCAGATTCTAAACCCACATGGGGAGGGAGGCTAAGCTCAAATACTGTGAGGGGCAGAATGAAATTCTCCCAGCCTTTCAGGATTGGAGAAAAATAGGTCTTTCAAATTGCAAAGGCAATTCAGTGGAGGAAGAATAATATTTTCAACAAATGGCACGAATTAGGTATCCTTGGGGGTGGGGAGAGGGGAGAGGGAGAGCCCCAAGCAAGGCCTCCCATCTTATACAAAAACTAACTCGAAATGGGTCACAGACTTAAATGTAACACATAATTATACTCTGGATATGGTTTAAGAGGACACAGCCATAGTAAATAAAGTTTTTATGGTGTGGACAGAGAGCTAAACAAAATTAAACAAAACAACAACACATAAAATATAAAACTTGTAGAAGAAAGCACAAAAGAAAATCTTAGGCATCAGGGGCTTGGCGAAGAGTTCTTAGTCATGACACCAAAAATATGATCCATAAAAGAAAAAAAATGTTAAATTGAACTTTGTTGAAATTAAAAATGTTTGCTTTGTGAAGGATCTTGCTCAGAGGATAAAAAGACAAGCTACCCAGTGGGAGACAATATCTGTGAACCACATATCTGATAAAGGACTCCTATCTAAAACTCTTGAGACATACGGTAAAAAACCAAACAATC